TTATCTTATTTCAATATTTAATTGGTATGATTTTCGTTGAGCTCTAGATTCACTATATTTTCTTAAATATGTTTTTAAATATATATCTCAGTTTTTGTTACTTAAGTAATTAAACGAGAACTTCGTTATTTTACGAATAAGTACATAACTGAATCAATTGTACAACTCCTCAAATAACAAAGACTACTAGCCAAATGTGATTTTACATCGTCATTTATATTATAATTCTATGTTCTTTTTATCATATACAACTTTAGAATTATGTTTAGTATGTTTTGGTATAGATTAAAATTACAAATTTATGAAAGTCATATTTATGAATTCCTAAATAAATTATAAATAATATTGCTAGAAGCTAATTCAATACAAAAATCCATGTATCTGTTTACTCTAACTTTTGATATGGGTCTCGGAGAAATTATAAAATGGTATGTACTGTATAGAAATGTAAATAGCTTTTCCACCCTTGATTCGTATATATTTTTTACTAAAATTAAGCGTAAGTGGAAGGATTTGATTCATGAATCTATTTTAATAGTTCTCGTTCTCGTCTGATCGTGGCTACACGTTTTTATTGTATGTACACGTCTTCGTAACTTGAATTAGTAAAAGGTGATCACGTATGACCAAAAGACAAGTGATCGCATAACGGTCATGATCAGATAATATTAAATCTCTTTGGCATGTGCAAGTATATGTATATACTGTGGCATGTATGTACATGTATATGTACGTGTATATCTAGTACGTACGGTTAAAGTGTATATATATATATATACATATATGGTTATCTTTTACGCAGTTTAAGTAAAGTGTGCATATTAAACTTTGCGTAAAATATAATCGCGAAGAAGTTACTTTTGAAGTAATTTATAATATTCACGTTTATTACAAGTAGATTGTGATTATTTAAATTCTTAAAAGTAATTATCACAGAAATAGATATACATATAACCATTGTTATATTCTGCGACCATGTATTAGGTTAATGAGATTATTTTTCTATATTGTTTTATCTCGAATACTTTTTATATTTTTTTTAATAAATAGATGCACATTCAATACAACTATCTGTTGCAATAAACTTTTGTAAATACAGTATTTAAATTGTCTTTAAAATTAATATTAAAAAGTACAAGATTATCGCAAATAAAGGATATTAGAACAATGTTTCATAATGCATTTTTTTAAGGACATCAATATTTTCAATAATGTATTCTTAGAAGGATAGTTAATTATCTATGTCAGATGTATTGTCCAATATACCAAAAATATATCGTGTTAAATGACATGATTTTTATTTTATTTTAATTAACGAATATTTTTTTATGTATGAAGCATGCTATCAGACAATAAATTGTGTGTAAAAATTAGTTGTGATAAAAATTGTATTATTTTCAATAAAAATCTCCCCTACTTTTACTTGTCAGAAATAGGAATGCCTGTAGGAGTGTACCGTGTCTATAATTAAACTTTCAGTGTGTAGACACCATGGTTTCAGAGTTGTAATGTTAGAGCCTTCGAGTAGAAGTCTTTCTTGTTTCTCTATTATTTCGTGTCTCGAATTTTTATTACTATTTAAAAAATTGAAAATTAATAAAATATTTGACACACCTAAAAATGTGCTTTTTCTTCATTTAATCTGTCTCCAATATTCTTCACTGTCAGGTACGTATAACAATGTTTTTCAAATAATTCACAATTAGTTCCGTTGCAAAATATTAAACTTCTGAATGTAATTTCTTTATTGAACCCCACAACCTCGCTCGCAATACACTTTTTATTATTTATTTTACGAAATATATCAATATATAATTAAAAAAATGCAAACAAAATTATTTTATCACGTTACTTTTACCACGAAGTTTATCAAATCGTTGCAAATATTGATATATTTATTTTAACAAAGCTTAGAATTAATTACAGCGTAACGATCAAGTGTTAAATAGTCAAGAAGACACTTACGGAATCGCAAATGGAAGGCGTCTGTCCGATTTGTGGGCAACGTGCAACGCTAAGATGCGGCAGTTGCAGGCAGCAATTTTATTGCAGCAAGGAGCATCAAAAACAGGACTGGCATCGGCACAGGTCAGCCTGTCAGGCTTGGAAAATTTGCGAGAACTCCGAACTCGGACGGCATTTATTGGCGTCAAGGGACTTGAATCCGGGTGATGTGGTCGTGTCGGAAATGCCTCTGGTTTGGGGACCGGCAATGCACACAGATCAAAGAGTTTGCGTTGGTTGTGGAAAACAATGCACGAATTCCCGAATGTTGTGTCTAAACTGCCTTTGGCCTGCGTGCGATTCAGATTGTCCTGGTCTAACTGATAAGAGTATACACGGTTCGGAATGTTCGTTGTTGATCAAAGCGAAAATCGTTTCTAGGTTTGTAACAATTTCTGTAAGATATGATGTTACAACGATAACCCAGTGTGTTTTTTACTTTTGAATGACTTTAGATAGTTTCACCAGTTCGTTTAATTTCAACTAATTTCGTTCTTTACACTAACAAATTCCAGCATATCTGAAGAAATTTAAATAAATATTTTAAAATAAAAATTTAAATACACGATTAGAGAATTTAATCGATATTATAGACATAGAGAAAAAAATTCAGGGGCTGATTCTGAAAGCCGATATAAGACGAAAATGAAGAATAAAAAAATTGCGTTTGAAGCTTCGTTTTTTAGATATTAACGATTAAAAATACCCCTGTAGCCGAGCAACCGTTCCTACACCAACGAATACAGGTCACATCACAGAAACTGAAGGGTGAGGTAGCATATCTCACTTATTGTTAATCAAACAATTTTCGAGGAATGATTAAAGGGACATACAGTCTCGCATTCCCTTCATGAAGGACAACACCATTTTTATTCACCAATTTTGGACGTTTCTTTTCAGTTATCGTTTGATTATTTAGTAGAAACTCATAATACAGTATTCCCTTCCAATCCTACCAAACACGTAATTAATACACTAATATATTTTTGGTAATAAATCTGTCATAAATTGGTTAATAACTTCTTCATACTGTTTCAACGAATATTACTCATTTATACTGGGCGTCTATAAATTTGTGTCGTTTGAAATAACTACTAAAAGGTAGTTGATTATTTATCGTTTCTCATGTAGAATCTGATAATGTGAAGAAAAAATTACGATCATTATGAATATCAAGGAAGAAACAATATGTGTTTTTTAACATTTCTATTATTTTAATCGTTGCTTTATTTTATTTATAATAGCTGTCGTGTTTTACAGGTGTGATGTTTTATTGGTAATACGTATGTTTCTACTGTGGCGTAACAAATCGAAGCAGTGGAAAAGTTTAGAAAAGTTACAGAGTCACGAGGATTCTCGTGGTCCAGGAACGAGTGTTTACGAAGAAGTTATGGACATAAGTCAGCATATCGAGCGTCTTTTACAGAACGATCCCGCTAGTAGAGATGTCGTAAAAAAAATTTGCGGTTTAATAGACGTGAACGCACTAGAAACTGCGCCACCATATGGCGGTGCTGCGATTTATGAAATAGCATGCCTTTTAGAGCACTCTTGTTTGCCCAATACCAGACACAGTTTTACAATTGACGATAAGGGAAGACCTCGTATCACTGTGACAGCTGTTTGTTTCATACCAAAGTGTGTACATATAGTTTGTTAAAATTTTTCACACATGGTGTTTCTTACACAACATTATCATTGTTACATTTTTCTTGTGTTTGGAAAGTAGACAAATTTTTTCACGATATATTTTCATTGCCTTAATCACCGCGATATTATGAATTGAAAAATATTTCATTAATAGTTTTTCCGAATAAAACTTCTCACAACTCTTTTATGCGTCAATACAGTTCGGAAGAAAATTCCAAGTTCGATGTGTTGAGTTAATATACAGGGTAAATTCAGAAATAGGTGGTCGAACTGTAAAACCGTGTTCTCTTCAATTTCAAATTCTTTTCTCAATGCTAGACAAAATGTATTTTTTTTTTTGATAAGATAAAATTAACGAAAAGGACTTGGATTTATCAAATTGTTCGTTCGCTTCATTTCTTTTTCGTGACAAAAAGCCAATTTTGTGTTATTCCGATGGTACGACAGTTTTATTTATTAAAAGTAGAACACACTTCTGAAATCACATTGTCACGTGTAAACGAATTATTTGCATAATTGTATATTCGCATGTGTGCAGAGGGGATCATTTAAGTACAATGTACACACACGCATTGTGGACGACGAGAGCCCGAAGAAGTCATCTTTTAGAAACGAAGTACTTTTCTTGTCACTGTAAGCGATGCACCGATCCAACCGAATTAGGCACGCACCTTGGTACCTTGAAGTGTCCTAACGACCAAGGATTTATTTTACCGAAAGATCCTCTGGACTTCGAATCAGAATGGAGGTGCAATTCGTGTCCTGGTGTTCTTACAACACCGGAAGTGGTTCAATTCATTGGAAAACTTGAGGAAGATGTCGACGAAGTAATGCGTCAATCAAACATGAACAAATTGGCCGATCTTCTTTCTCGGTGAGATGAGTAAACGTGCTTTGTTTCACGTTGATTTAGAAAAAAATATGGAAAATGCAGGATTTTTTTACAATATTCGAGAACAACAGAAAAGTTTATCAAGGATCCTTCCCGAATTTTTTATTCTTGTCTTTAGTGTTAAAACGTTTTTTGAGAAACCTTAAGGGGAATAAAAGTTTGGAAATTTTTTTAATGAAAAGTTTCAATTTTTTTTTAGAGGATATAAATTCTAACTTTCAGCATTCTTCTGCAATTTAAGAGAAAATAAAAATGTTAACAAATGGAGGAGTTGTTACAAAATCTCTTCTGCTAGAAGATCGATTTGTGGCCGCCATTGCCGGCAGGAAATGAAACGTCTGAAATAAGAAACACTTTTTCATTTATAAGTAAAAGTGTATCACCTAAAATGTAGCGTACGATTTTTTCGATATGACAATTATTCAATTTTTCAGAAATTTTCAAAGTTATTTTTCCATTTGGTGAAAGGAGGTTTTTCCGCCTCAGAATGCCACTATGCCTCCAATAATTACAATTTCTGAGCAAAATTACTCTACGTTGAGGATAATACATTTTCATTAATAAATTAGAAAGAATTTTTTAATTTAAATATCTCATCGAACGAAAAACACTAATTCCCTTGTAATTGCTTCAGACTCACAACATTGTTGCATACCGATCATCAACAGTGCATCACGGTGAGTCACTCGCTGATTCAATTGCTGCCTGGAAAGGATCCGAGAAAACCTGAACTGTGTAAACGTATTCTACAAACTACCAAAACGCTGGATCCGTATGGTGTCAGATTGGTACTGTACACTGCGGTGGCATTGAGAGAATTGTCCACTTGTCCTGGAGAAGATAGGAGAGCTCTTTTATCGGAAGCTTTATCATTGATGCAATACGAGCCGGAAGATTCACCTGGCGGTAAGCTGAAGGTGTTGATGGAATCTGAGTTATAAGGCTAATTTAACATTTACATAAAATGGTTGTAACAATGAATCGATCGGTTGATATGTGAAAATTATTCATGTTTTGTATTATATTAAATTTACAAAATGTATTTATTTTATAAAAAAATCGTTCTTATCGTACGAACTTAAATTACACAGCTATGTAACATAACGCAGTATTGAAACGACACTTTTTTCCATGTAAACGAATGTAAATATCGAACGGTGAAAGGTGAATCGTTGTTAGTCGCAAGTTAGACAGTATAGTTGGTGGAAGCGATACAGCGAGGTCGTAAATTGAAGCATTAAGCAGGAGGAGACGCTTAGGGTCGTTCGTCATTTGTGTACTGATATTTCAAATTTCATTTTCTTTTATCTGCGCTTTGAAACTTTGCTCGCACTCGGCGCCTTTTGGGACACTTTCACCGTAATTCAATCCTTAGTTTGGCCCCAGGTCCAAATTTTTTACCGTTTCAAGCTTCCAAAAAGTCTGAAAAAATTCTGGATCACCTGTCGAAGTCTCTACCACATTATACAATTGTCCGTTAAATCAAACGTTTCAAACTGTCTTTGATAAAAATACAAATTCGCTTGGAAGAAATACGGTAGTGAAATGTCACTTGGGTCATCAAACACCCGGATTGCTTAATTGGTTAAATTCCGCCCTTTCTGCGCTTCCGCCTTAATATACTAAAATAAATTTGAAAACGATGCGACCGAAATAGAGGATTTTGCATCCGCGATGGAAAGAGCGAAAGAGTTAAGTCTCCCTGTCGCTTCGTGCTCAATAGTAATTCTAATTTCAAGATAACCTAAGGGAAGACAAATTGAAATTAATTTGAAAATAACCTAAAAAAGGTAAACTGAAATTACCTTGAAACTAACCTAAAGAAGAAAAAATTAAAATTAATTTGAATTATAACTTGAAGAAGATAAGTGGAAATTAATTTGAAGATAACCTAAAGAAGATGAGTTAAAATTAATTTGAAGATAACCTAAGGAAGATAAATGGAAGTTAATTTGAAAATAACCAGAAAAATTTGTAATCGCGAAAATGAAACCGCAGATGTCGATAATTAAGGAGCAGATAACTTTTTTAAACGCACTGCGACGAAAGAACCAATTCTTAGTTGACATCGAACGATCCATAGCGAGGATCGAGCAACTTGTCTTCCTCGAATTGCTGTTTTGTCGCTCGAATTACCTGTACTTCGACGACCTCGCTGTATCGCTTCCAACGACTATACACACACACAGTTGTGATCATTAGCACCGTGTTGTATAGTAATTCTACTCGTGACATCCATTTTGATATGTTACATTTTGTTAAGGTAACTTTGTAGGTATAGAATCTGAATGTAACTGGCATTTACATCGATAACATCGTCGACATGTTTCGTTCAAAGGTAAGAAATAAGTAGAAATTAGGGGGGAAAATGCAAGTTTCAGGTAAACATTATTTAGATATGGTTTCTTGCGAATCTAGACTAGATTTAGCTTCGAAATGAAGTAACAAGTTGTTCGTAACAAAAAAAAAAAAAAAAAAGAAGAAAATGGTTGCTGCTGCTTTCGCTCTTCTCGAGCCAAGCGAGCAATTGGATAAACGAATAATTTGCTTATTCTACACATCGATAGAGATTTGATCGGATATTAATCCCTAAAATGAAACGTTCACCGGGGAACTTTGTTTCTAACAATGAAAGACTTACGAGTGAAAGTGTATTTAAGAGTCTAAGAAACTTTATGCCGGTTTATTATCAAACGAGCATTTGTACCTAATTGTATCAGCTATTTAAATGACTTTCTCATCAATTTTCGAACAAAGAACACTAACAATTAATTCGCACCACGATTTTCAAAAATAAAATTATCCTCGTCGCTGTACTTAATATTCACATCCAGGATTTCGCATTATACGTGTACAATAGACAGTTATGTTCATTTTGTTACATAACAATTAGGAATTTTCGAATAAGTTTAACATTAGAAAAAAAGAAAAATGGTAGTAAAGATTGAAACTCTATATCTGAAATGAATAACGTAACATCTGAATCGTTATATGAAAAGTTTAGCGGTTGAAATTTCTTACAATTCGTCACAACGCACAGTGAAATATTTTTCATGAAAAATTTGTGCAAAAGAAAAAAACTCACAGGATTTGTGTACATTACTTTACTTATTTCATCGCGAAATTTTCATATCGAATCTCTCAATTCGAGAAAAGAAGGATTTACCACCAATTTTTTTACAAAAGAAAAATATCACAGTTTGTACGGTTTCCAGAAAGATAAAATAACGATTATACTTTAACAAGAACAGAAGAAAGTAAAATTCTTTTTACATTGCCCTCTTCTTCTGCCCAAAATTCTCTGAGCAAAATGGCCGTTGCGACGCTTCATTTACAAAAAAGAAGAGACACATTTTCAATTAGGTTAAAACAATTTTGTTGTGCCGTCACGCGAGTGATCGGATCGGCATTTTGAGATGCCGCCTCGGTGGCGCGTGCGATTCGGGCCTTTTTGGACGGTCGGGCGCGCGCCATCGCGGCGTATAAAGACGGCGGACGAGCCGTCGGCGACGCACTAATGTTATATCGTCTGTCGCAGCAAGACATTTGTATCGTTAACAAATTTGCCAGCAGTTTAAATAAAATACTTCACTGTGCAGCTTTTGTATAAATTCCAAACATTTACCAACAGGCGAAACGTTGAACAATGAGACAGCCGTTAAATTGTCCGTGCGTTGAAATGAATAGAGGGAAGAAGGGAGAGAAAACTGGTAGAGATTGGTAAGTAGGAAAGAAAGTAAAGTACCGAAGGGAGTAACAATTCAAAGCACTTGAAGTTATCATCTTAGACATCGTATCATTTTGGTTATTCCTATTATCATCGACGAGAATCGTTAATATCAAGGTAGACAGGAACGTCGGGTGCGTACAACTAACAACGGATAGGACAAAGATTGGCCCTTCAGCTGAGCCGTGATCTGTAAGAGGTAAGCCTTTCCAGGTTGCAACCTCTTAAGGGTGAACGCGAGCGCTCGTTCTTTAGGTGGACTCTGTTTTTCTTCGCAGACCTCGAAAGTATACTCGGAACGTCTTCGACGATGAAGGCCACACTGGTCTGGAATTGTTGTCACGCTGTTCAACGACGTGCCGTTCTTTAATTCTCGGACTAGGATGCAATATTTCGCAGAACCTGCCGATTCTACCCCTATCGTCACCTCACGACAAGTTCTTAGGGATCTATACTCGCGCGGTGTACTTCTGGATGGTATCTAAACAAAATATTCAGCCTTTCTGCCAGTGTGTTTGATTATTTTCTTGGTTTTTAAGTCGCTGGTTAATTTCAGTGGAACGTAGTATATATTTAATTTTGTTTACTACTTTTCTGATGGAAAAGGATGGAAAGTGTCGCGGGAGATGGAAGATGTACGCGTTGAAAGTACGATCTGTTGCTTTTGTAAAATGAACAATTAGTGGGGAATCGCGTGTTGAATTTTATGGTCTTCCGAAAGATACGCGCTTAAATACTTTTGTTGCTTTCGACGATACGGAAAGATTTTTAAAAGATAGAGGGTGCGAGCGTTGGAAGTGTTGATAAAACGAAAAATTACTAAAGAATCGCGTATTGAATTTTATGTAAATTTGATTAAATTTCGAATTTTAATAATTTGGTTTTTCCAAAGATATGCTTAAATACTTCTTTTGTTTTTGAAAACGCGGAAAGTGTTCTGAAGGATAGAAGATGTAACTTACAAGTCGAAAGTAAACTCTGTTACTTTGATAAAATTAGAAATTACTTGGAATATAAATTTTGTTAAATTGAAAATTTCAATAATTTGCCTTTTCAATTTAATGCAAGAATTTTGTGCTATTCTGAAGATCTTCTTTCTCCATTTTTGATTGTCTTAACAATTTTGAAGCATTTCATCCAAAGACGAAAAATATAACGATACTCCTTTCCAAATTGCCTTTCTAACTTCCGTGGTTTTCTTTTTAAATTATTGATATTTTTGTGCGAAATTGAATTTGACGAGAAACAATTCTTAACACGTTCACTGCCACGCCGAAAGGTCGCCCCGAAACTATTTTTATTTTTCTAAGCATATAATAGCAAAATAATAATAAATACGGTTATACGAGACAACATTCTTACCCATGGGGCGTTTATCTTTCTGGTGGTCACGGGTGACCACCGTGGCGCCTTGGTGCACTCGATGACACTTGATAAGTATTTTGGAATATTTATTTACACCAGGGCCGTCAAATATATCTATCCGAAGAAAATTACGACACGAGATATAAAAAAAGGAAGGGCCAGAGTACCTTGTGCGAAAATTTTGCAAAGAATGTTGTGAAAAAAATTTTGCAAGTCTTGGAACAAAGATTGCTAAAAATCGGACCAAGAAGGTTACCACATACTGCCCAGATTGCATCGATCAGCCGCATCTATGTTTGAAATGCTTTAATACGATACACCGGTAGATAGAAGATTCGATAAAAATTAATCTCTCGTTTTTGATCTTCTAGTAAAAATTTTTAATTATCGAATAGTGCACATTTTATTTCAAAGTATTCTCTAATCAGCGATGACGTTCGCTCTCGTTTTTGATCTTCTAGTAAAAATTTTTAATTATCGAATAGTGCACGTTTTATTTCAAAGTATTCTCTAATCAGCGATGACATTCAAAATTCGTCAACTGTCAATGTTCATTCAACTTTTACAATTATAAACATTCGAAGCACTCCGGTCACCGGTGACCACCGTGGCGCTACAGGAGAAACAATCTGCGGTCACATATGACCACCGTGGCAGTCAACGTGTTAACTAAAAATTCCTACTGTTTATCGACATTTTCGACGTAAGTAGAAGTTAAAATAATTTCGACAATGAACAGATTAAATTGATATGAATCACAGGGGGTTAGCAAATGAATGTAAAAGAAAGGTAAATTAATTATTTAGATAGTGATTTAATTTTCCTTTTAAACATTAATTAGACCGAAATACTATTCATTTTAGATAGATAAATTTAAAAATACTGTCAGCTATTTTAACAAATACACTTGAGTGTTTTATCATAATCGAGGGTTTAACAAAGGTAATGTTAAGTTAAAGATATTTTACTTTGTATAAGATTTTAGCGTACCGAAAAAATCATTTTACGCTTTTCGTATTATTATTCAGTCGAAGTTAATTTGTACGAACATACCTGTGGATATATCTTAGATGATTCTTGGGTAGCCAGTACTTTAATGGCGGATATTCGTACTAATTCCTGTGGTGTGGCGGATATCCGTAATGTGTATGTCTTTCCTGCAGTTAAAGGTGGTATCCTTAACGATGCATATCCTACCACCTCCTTTTCCTACAAATGTAAATCATCAATAATAATGGAATCTGTATCGGGAATTATTCATTTCATATGAAACCGTACCTAATGAAAAAATGTAATATTTATTTAAAAAAATGACTTGCTTGCCTTGGTAAATGTAAAAAAATGTAAATAAAATTAATTTACGTCAAATTTACAAATTTGAATAATTTAATAAATTTGAAATTTTTGATTAAAGATAGAGATCATATCACTATTTTCATTGCGACACAATTGAGTTACCATGATTCATATATTATTCAAATAGTTATTCAAATTAGATAAATATTTGTTACTATACATCGAAGGTAAAATTTATCCAACTTTCATAAAATGAAAAATTACTAAAGAAATGCCTGAAATTTTATTAAATTTCAAATTTTAATTAATTTTAACAATTTCAAAGTACGTTTTAACTTCTAATAAATATTTAACATCGTTTAAGCAATTCTTCGAACGGTAATAAAAACAACTGTTGGTCCAACTCGTATTTTGATTTTTCACGTAATAAAAATTGACGACCATTAACCGTAGCTGGAACATAGTTAAAAAGATAGTTTATTACCTTTAAAATTCCTGGGCCACTTAATTTCGCTTTAACGATGCCGCCACCGCAGGGAAGAATATGAAAGGTACTCGAAGTATTTCCCGGAGGACGATAGCGGAAGTTGATGAATCCGTCAGTTTTACGTAAACTGGCAGTAGCATAATGTCCAGTTCGTAACCTTAATTCCGGCGTTTTCCGAAATCTTATGGTATCGGTTGCTATTCGATTTGACACGTTGTTTCGCGTATTTACCTAATGTAGGAAAAAGAAATTCTTCACAACTCTACACTTTGCGACATAAAATCAGCAATACTCTAAAACTAACAAGGAAACAATACTTTAAAAAGAAAAATGAACATTTTAAAAATGAAAAAGAACATTCCGGAGAAATGTTTCTTGAAGGTATACAGTAAATTCTCTACAAGTGTCAGTCAGTTTGGATTCTACAAGTGTCAGTATAGATGGTCCTACGCCTAGGCTGCGTCATTGCTGCGCCTATGTTATCTCGCTCGCGGTCAGTCAAGCGTGTAACGCTACACCACTCGGTTTCTTTTACGTTTACGAGATTTCACAGCTCGACAAATCATAATAGAAAAATATAATTTCTTTAATTTTACTTTTTTTCATCTGAAATTTTTTTTAACATGTTGGTGAGATTTTTCTGATGAAAATGATATCAAAGACGGTATAATTTGAACAACTGTTCTGTCACGCCAGATTTACAGGTTGCTGTCAGGTGACCACAAGAAAATACATTTTAAGCATAGGATTATAGTATTATGCTTTATAATTTTTTTTTTTCAATTGAAAATAATGTCTAGCTAGCTATGACGTTCAAAATTTTTAGTTGACAACATTTATTTTATTTTAATTATTCTAAACATTTCAGGCACTCCAGTCACTGATGACCACCATGGCCATATCGAGGAAACAATCTAACGTTAAAACTTATTGAGTGATTAATTTAATTTCATAATATATCGCTTTAGCGAGCCACCGTTTGGTTGCCAATTGTTTATCACATAGAGGCGGCCTACC